CTCCTCCTCCTGTCATTCTCCTGCCGGCTCCGCAGCAGCGCCCTTGGCCGTGGCAGCTGGCTCTGTGCCACTGAGTGAGCGGCGACTGCGCTTCTAGACATAATTTTGAGATTTTTTTTTTTAATTCCCTGAAAATTGCAATAATTTTTGTTATTCTTTTAAATGTCGCTTTTCGGCCCGTGTTCTTCTTTAATTTCCTCCCTTTCTGCTTGTTTTATTTATACGAAATGTATCAAAAGACAAGGTAAATTAGGTTTTGGGGTTTTTTTAAATGACGTTTATAGCATCTTCTGATATCTCCATTGACTTTTGGCACCAAAGTCATTAGGAGTCTGAGTTGGTGGTATTCTTCTGTTCCATAAGTTCAGGCTCAAAGAATTTTTTTCTTTTTTTCTCTTTTAGTGACTACCACCCTATACCTTCTGTTAACCTTCTAAACTTGTCCTAATCCTGGGCACCTGCAGGTTAGGCAGCTATTGTGAGAATCATAGAGCATGAACACTGAATGAAAAATAGAACAATTGCATAATTAACGGTATGGGCTGAAGAGAAAATTGTTTAAAAGTCAAACATTGTGCTGGAGCAGCTGAATAATTAAACCCTGCCCTTGTAATCCTCTTCACTTTTTCTGTACTGTGCCCTGACTGTACATCTTGCAGTTTTAAAATGCTGTAGTTGGTGTAGGCTAGAATCACGTCTTACTCCAATGGCCTGTTTGTCGCTTAATTAACTTGGAAAACTCTTGCTCTTTGTTACTCTGTGTCTCCGAGAGGATCAGATCTGGGAGAATCAGATTAGGCTGGAACGTTATTCTGTGTCTGTTCTCCTGCACTTGAAGATGTGACTGCACCAGAGGAACTGTATCCTATCTGAGGTAGCAAGTTATCTTAATTTGGCAAGCTTTTTAATTTTTTTTTCTTTACACTTTATAGAAACGGAAACTCCAATTAAGCCCAGAGCAATGTAGCAACTTTTATGCAGACCAATATGGAAAAGTGTTTTTTCCTAATTTAACAGCCTATATGAGTTCTGGACCTTTAATTGCCATGGTTCTTGCCAGACATTGCGCAGTCTCATACTGGAAGGAACTGCTTGGACCATCAAACAGCATAAAAGCTAGGAGAACTCACCCTTACAGGTACCTTACTGTTTGGCCTTGGTGAAGTTGGTAGGATATTGTCTTTCTCTTGAGACCAGAATTCCCCTCTCTCGCTTTTTTTTTTTTCTTTTTCTTCTTTTTCTGCAATAGAAATACAGATTTGGAGTGGCCTGTTATCTCTTAAATTTTCTGTAACATAGCTTTTCACCTTTGTTTTTTAGTATGCAAAGTTAATCCATTTTATGGAGAATGCTGAGTGCATGGACATTTTTAAAATTTTGTTTTGTTTGACTGTAGAGACTTGGAAGGGATTAGCAGTTGCCTACTAAGCAGTTCTTTCTCTTGTTTTTAGTTTAAGAGCAATTTATGGGACTGATGATCTGAGGAATGGATTTCATGGCAGTCACAGCATTTCCTCAGCAGAAAGAGAAATTAAATTCATGTTTCCAGAAGGTAAAATGGTACAAATAATACATTGCCAATCTTTGGGAGGGTAATGCCCTTCCTAGTTATTACTTGTTTTTGTCCAGACTCTAGATATAATTGGATTTAGAAGGGGTTTGTTTGTTTTATGTGAATGTGGATCTTTTTACATGTAAGTTGATATTTTTTGCTGTGAAAGGCATACCTAAACATATCTTAAAAGCCATAATAGTTACAGGGACTGCTTCTACTTTTCAAACTCTGTGGTCTGGGAATTGGAGCAGGCAAAGTTGGTAAATGAGAAGAAATGGGAAGCTATTACACTCCAGCATGTCTTTCTGGCAGTGTTAGCCTGGGAACTCCTCTTGGGCTCAGTGTGAGTAATTCCTATTTACAGCAGCTGGATGCTCCCACGATAGTGCAATCTGAACGTCAGGTGCCAGAGAAATGGGCCATAGAACCCGGAAAGGCTGGGAGAGGATCTCGTGTTTGTACCAGTTGAAAGATGTCTTTGCTCTTTGACAGAAAGATGGAAGGGGAACTCTGCTGGCAAAAAAAAACTTGCCTATTTTTGTCAACTGTATCAGTTAGTTTAATAAAAGATGTTGCACTTCCCTAAAAACCTTTCCCATTGTAAACCATGTCTCTTCTCCTCACCTTAACGACAAAGCTGGACTTAAGGTGGGATTTTTAGGGTCTTCATAAACCAGCTTCACACAGCAAGAAGGAAGTACTAAACATGAGATATATTGTTTCTCTCGTGCCCCCAATGCATCTTCAAGGATCTAGGTTTTCCCAAGATGATCTGATTTCTTCCCCTTTCATAACTGGCTATAATTAGTAAGATTACCTCAGGGACATTGTAAAGGGGTTGGGGCAGTTTTTTGCAGTTTGTTGTGGGAGAAGCTATAAAAACCATTATGTATTATTAACTCATTAAGGAAAACAGCACCTCATATATAAGCAGACTTTAAAATAATGCCTTTTTAAAATCACTCTACAAGCTGCTTTTTTTTTTTTTTTTTTTTTTTTTTCCTCCAGTGATCATGGAGCCCATTCCAGTTGGACAAAGAGCTAGAGATTACTTGAACCTTTGTGTAAAGCCTACGTTACTAGCTGGGCTCACTGCACTGTGTAAAGAGAAGCCAGCAGATCCGATGGTACGTACAGTCTGTCAGGATTGCGTTGTGTGTACGTTTACTTTGTATTAGTAAAGTCCCTGTATATAGGGAAGCTGCTCTGTAACAAAAGAGCTGTGCCTTTCAAGAAGTTGATTGGTTTGTTAACAGGTGAAATGAGGGCTAGGACTAAGTGAAATCCTGTTGTGGTTTGGTGGGGTTTTGTTTGGTTTTTAGTCCCTAAACAAAATTAACTTTCTTTCATCTGGAAAAATATGGTAAATGTTTGTATTCTTGAAGTTCAAGTAATTCACACTAGTACTGCTTTAAGAATGCAGATTATTAGTTAGGGTGACAATTTACTGGCAGTTGTGCTGGATTCTGCATCATTACCAGGTTTGTGGTCAACATTGCATTTTTCTAAAAGATTAAAAAAAGCCTCAGAAGTAATTCAGGGATGTTTCTATGAACTATGTGGTATACGTGAGGTCAGGTTAAATGTACTGTGATTGTTCCAGCTTTATAACCTGTTCACCTTATCTGTATGTCTGACAGTCTTACAACAGAAACCTAGAAAACAGAGATGAAGAAGGCTTTTCATCCATCCCTTTGCCCAAAGGCCAGACCAGTTGTATCTAACAAATGTTTGTCTGGCCTGTTCTTTAGCACTCCAAATGATGGAGAATCTGCAGTGTCCTTGGGCAATCTGTTTCAGTGCTTAATTATACTTAGTTGAAAAGCTTTCACTAGAAGTTAGCCTAAGTCTTCTGTGCTCCAATTTTAAGTCCATTTATTTTTTTTCCTTTTACTATCCCCAGAAGTCCCCAGAAGACATTGGAGACAGTGTAATATCTCCCTTTTTTTTTTTTTTTTTTTTTTTTTGCAGCAACCTATTGCATATTTGAGGAGTGTTACCATCTTTTTCCCTTTCACTATATTAAAAACTGATATTTTTCCTCTTACCTTATAAATCATATTGCTCCAACTCATTGTAATCTCTGCATTCTGAGCACAATTTTCTAGCCAGTTATGTGGTAACCGATAGTAACTTCATCGAGACCATGCTTTCCTTCCTTGCTTGTAGGAAAGCTATAAAGCTATATGAAGCAGTGTCAATAGCTTTACTAACATGAAAACATGATGTTTGCTTCTCCTTCCTCGTCCATAGTGCCTGTGACCTTGTAACAGAAGGAAAATAATGTTGATTTGATACAGCTTTTTTCCAGAAATATATGTTGGCTTGTTATCTCCTGGGTGACTTACAGGGAGATTGATGGAATGTGGTTTTGGTTGTTTTTTGGGTTTTTGTATGTGTGTTTGTTGGGGGGTTTTTTGTGTGGTTTTTTGTGTTTTGTTTTTTTTTTTTTTTTTTTCTAGTATCCTTCTAGGAACAGAAGTTGGGGTGATTTGGCTCATCTTTTTTTTCTTTTTTCTTTTCTGAATAGTTGCTAGCAGCACAGAGCTTGTCCCAGCTTGTCCCAATTCCTTAAATATCGCAGCATAAATTTAATCAGGCTCAAATGATGTAAAGCTTTCTCATTTTCCCAGACAGTCTTTCTAAGGGCTTTTGGGCTTTTATGGTTTGGGAATTTGTTTGTTTGTTTGTTTGTTTTCCATTTCTGTCTTGAGTTCTTACTGTCCTTCTGCTATTGCTGACTAACCTGTGAGAATTATCATAGTGCTCTGCTTGTTGTCTCTTTCTTTGCAAACCAGTCTTTTTGTACCTGAAAGGAGAGTGTTGCTTACCTTACTGGTCTACTATTCTATCAATTCTTTCACTTCACAGTATGGTATGAAGTTTGTTGTACTTAACATTCCAGAAACTAATTGTCAACAGCCTTGTGAAGTAAATAAGGATGTGTTAAAATCTCTTTACAAGTGGAGAGATTGAGGCAAAGGGTTGATTTGCCTGAGGCCAGACTGAGACATTGGCAGATGAAGTTAGGACTCACGAGGTTCCTACCTCCCACGTTCTTATTTAAGTACAATTTGCTGGAAAATGTACAAGATTAGTTTCAAAATATAACTGTGTTTTGGTTTTAAGTTTTAGTGTGTTTTCAGTGCAGAAGGCTGCTACTTTTAATGAATAATTGCTAGATAAAGTATCTGTAATCAGGAGTAGTATTTCGTTAAGAAGTTTCATTTTCTAGAAGCTCCATGTATCAGCCAAGATAAGCTTCATCAAAAACACCCCTTCATAAGAAAATTAACAATCTTGATTATATGTTTTCCTTACATTTAAAATGAACCTAAATACAATTATGAAAATGTAATGTTTATTTTGAATGTCAACGAAGGTGGTGTGGTGTTTTGTATTGTACAGCCTCATCCAAAACAGAAATTACTGGATTATTTGAAATATGGCTCAAATGTTCTTATACATAAACAAAGATAGACGTTGCCAGGAAAAGCTGTCTTGTAAAGATCAGTGTGAATTGTTCAAGAGTGAAGTGAGTGGTGAAGATTTAAAATAACATTTAGAAAAACAAGGTTATTTGTGTATCTGTTTTTTTCTGGAAGGTCTTAATTCCACAGCACAGTGGGAGAGTGTCTGTATTGGAGGTTTCAAATAATGCTTTTACTATTCTCCCACACACTTAATAGAAAACAACAGAAAACGGAAAATGTTTGCATTTTCTGTTCCACAGATTTGGCTTGCTGACTGGTTGATTGAACACAATCCTAATAAACCTAGGCTGCAACATCAGATCACTGCAGAGGAGCATCAGGGGTGAGAGCTCACTGGAAACAATCTCAAGCGTTCCAACTTGCAGATGTATATAATAATTTTCAGTGTATCCCTTGGCTATGTAATCAATATTATCTGAAGTAAACATGATTGTCAAAACTACATGTGTCTTCACGGGATAAATAAACTTACACTTAACCGGGTTTTAATAGTTCTAGTAGCTTTTCTATGGACAAAGTGAATGTAGAATTACATGATAAATTTATGGTGTCAGGTGACTAGAAAAAGACAAAATTCCCACCAGGTGTGCCTTAACTGCTATTTTCTCTGTTTATCTTGGTTTGGCTGTCTGGGGAGAACCAAATTATTTACATTAGTGCAGATTCCCAAATGACATACAGCTGGCCCGTGCTTTGTGAAACTGGAAGTTGTGTTTCAGCATTTTTTTAGCAGACACAAATTCCATTATGAAGGGAGGTACTTGGATGTAACTTAGAAAATGGTTACTGGAGGCATATTAGCAATTTTGGAATTTTAATTGATGATTGCATCACCGAGCTAAGGTTGCTCTTAAAGATGATTCACTTGAGCCTGGCATGTTTTGCCAGAATGTAATTTGAAGCAAAAATTTGAAGGTGCACTGAATGTGCCTTTCCCATCTCAGTGGCAAAGGCACAGTGATTATAGAGCGGTCCTTGATTCCCATTAGAAGTCACAAGAAGGTGTATGTTAGTCAAGGACAATGCTGTCTTCCAACATTTGTTTGAAATAAAGGTGCTTAATTGGAACAGCTCACCTTAAGGGTGTTTTCTGTGTTCTCCTGCTCTCAACAGGTATGCTGATTTCTGTTGGTTTCCTTGTATTGTTGTTTGCCCTTGAACTCTAATGTGTTCTGTTTGAGAATTTCAAGAGGAGTTAGGGGCCATGCTACTCAACAGGCAATGGGTTAATGCTGCACTATTACCTTTTCTAAAGTAACTGGACTATTTTTGGGGGGCATGGGGCTTTTCATTTTCTTAAGCGCTGTACTTGCACTGTTAACTTCAAGCTTTGTATCTTATGGTTTGACTGGCTAGGATAGAGCAAATGATGTTATTTTCACAACTCTGAAATATTAGTATGGTTGACTAATACTAAACAAACCAGCAATTTCATAATTTGTTTCATGAAAAAACTTGCTCCCCCAACCTGAGTAATTACCAGAAACATAAGTAATTTGTCTGTAACATTAAACTTTGTTTAAGCTAATTGTTTATCTTCTCTGTGGAATAAACCACTATTGCCAGCCCAGAGAATAAACATTTAGAAAATAGGTCCCTGCAGTACCAAGACCTAAAAATCTTGGGACTTTTAGAAGAAGAAAAAAAAGCAAGCTCAAACCCACAAATATGAAGAAAAAAAAATGAGGTGGTTAGAAATACAGTGAACAGATCTATTTACAAGTAATTTCTTTTGTTTATAATGATTGTCCCTGTATGTGTCTGACTGTTCCAATTACAGGACAATTTCACTTTGTGGTTTCCTGTCATCCAAACAGAAAAAATTCTTTTTTGAATATGCCAGAAACTAAAATTTGGTGAATTCACAAGATGTTCTCCTGTATCTTGTTAGTTTCTGTAGCGTTTGCTTACTTATTTTGATGTGATACTGCTCAACAATAAATATTTCCTTTATATTACTGCTGGACTTTTCAGTTTTGCTTTTGTGACAGACCTGTATTGTATTGTACCTACAGAAGATCGTAACTTCCAGGAGAAAGGGCAAAAGCAGCTGATGTTGCAAATGTTCCCTGTATAACCCATGTGCAATATCAAGTTTCATTCGTTGAAGTGTATGTCTATCATGGATTTATTCTCTCAGTATAAGAGCTAACACCCTTCAGTTGCTGGCTTGTGTTCGCTTCCCTTTTTCTAAGTGAAAGGTAGAAAGAGAGAAGATACCATAATCCCGTGGGTGCCAGCCTGCCTCGCTGTATCTTTACACCTGGGTAAGTATTGACCCAGCAAATCTCACAACTGAGATCTTGAGGAACCTGCTTTGGTAAGCAGGATGTGGGCAGTCCTGGGAATGTGAAATCGACAACTAGCCTGGTCCCCTGAGGGAGCTGTGACACCACAGGAGAGGCTGTGGAGGACATGCTGCTTACATTTCTTTTGGTCTTTTTTTATTTGACCCAGAGTGGTATAGGCTTGGCCAGTGTTATCGACTCATATCACAGAAAGCGTAGCTTTGGAAAAAACAGATGAACTGAAAGATGTCCTACTGTTTGGTGTCAGCAAGGTAAGCTACTCTCTATGGGAGTGAGTGACCTCTGTTCTCCCTCTGTTGAGTCAAAATAATTACCTTGCCTATTGAGTTTTATTGGGTATTTTTAACTTTGAGGGAGTTCATTTTGGTTTTACTGCCTGAGTGCTGGGATTGAGCTATGTCCATAAAACCAGCAGTTCGGTCTGTTTCTCATAATTCTGTTTTTTCAACAGACTTTCTCCTGGGTCTTTGCTTATCATATGCTTGCTATCACCTGCACTGGAAGTTATGCTTGGAACTATACAGATTGAGATAGTCTGAAGTATGTGATTGTTCAGCCTGCCTGTCCCATAAGGGATTTATTATCTCTAAAAGCAGTTAAACTGCCAGGAACCTTGAACATACTTTAAAGACGGCAGAACCCTCGATCAAAGCCAGATACTCACTGCCTACATAAGTCAGAGCATTCCAGCATGCTGAGCTTCAGAAATGAGGTGCTGTTCAGAGCTGAGGACTTTGATTCAGCAAATTCAAGCAAAAAATTTTTACATGGAGGTTTGCAAACCCTCATGTAGGAAAAGAAGAGAGGATTTGTCTTCCTTCATTCAAGTTATTAATTTTGACCATCCTTTAAACAACAGTTGTCTAAGCAAAACTGACCCATTGGTGATAAACTGATGGACGTTTATCTCATGGCACCGTATGAAGGGAAGGACTCAGACCCTTACTTTTTTCAGTGCCATATTAGAATGACAGATTCTATTTGAAGGTGGAAATGTCACAGTTAATTTAAATTTGTTAAGTTGGAGCAGTCATCAAGATAATTCGTGTTATTCTGGACAGTGAATGTTAGTTGTTTTTTGGCAGTACCCGACAACAGTACGCCCTCTGAAAATACTGTGGTGAAAACAGTGGTTTTTCAATTTCCTTTTTTAAAAAAATCTGAAGAGTAATTATTTTCATTTTGTTGGAAAGAGAGACTCTTTGCACATCATAACAAGGTAACTTAATTGTTTTTGCAGTGCTGTTTCCTTTTAGATGCTTTGGTCTTGGACTAGAAATAGGAGTTCAGTCCTCTTTACTGACTACTTGCTGCTTTGCTTTACTCACCCAGACTTGGCTCAAACCACCATGGCAATGTCGCAAGGACCATCACAAGAAATAGGTACTTTCTGGTTCTGCTGTTAGTGAGATGGCGAAAGCTGCCGTCTCCTGGCTGGTCCGTCAGGAGCAGCTGCCCGTACCTGGAGATCTCCCCTAGCCTGGGTGAGCTCCGCTGGGTGTGCAGCGTGTCAGCAGCATGACTGATGATGGTGGGTCTCCTCGGGAGGAGGCCTGTCAAATTATTGTTATGCTGCCTCCTGCCAAGTGATCCTGGGGATGCTGCTGTAAGCTCAGGGAAGAGCCTATTGTTGGTTTCTGAGCCAGCAGTGAGGCATTGTTGTCAGGCGAAGCAGGCGGTGGGAGAAGAAGGCAGCTTGCAGACAAGTGAGTGAATGATACTCTGATAATGATAACACCGAAGGATTAAGAATTCTCTTCTGTTTGCTGCTTGTGAGTGTTTTACAGACAAGGGAGGTGATGCTTTCATACGAAGTACTTCATGTAGTGCCTTGCTGGGTATGCTTACATTTTTTCCTGCATGGCATATCCTGTCCCCCGAGAACACCTGACTGACTCACTCTTGCTTAGCTGTGGTACCTTCTGAAGCACGACTGAAAAAAAAAAAAATTGGTACCATATCTGCCACTTCTTTACTATCGGTTTTACTTTTTCTTTAAAAGTCTTCTCACCTGGGATCTCTGAGTCAGCCTGGATGGATCTTCTGTATTACTAGAGAGAGAATTGCGAAAGGCAGTTGGGTCTGTCAGCCCCAGACTGCCTGGGCGAGCAATCTCATGTGAACTCACCCGAAATTCCAGGGAATTTTTATGTGCAAGAACCTAATTTATCTCTAAATCCTCTTGGCTTTAGGAAACTGCTCTGCAAACCACCCATGCTTCCATCTAATCTATTTATAGGCAAAGCCTAACCTCTCATTTCCTTGCGAGGGAACAGTTGGTTTTTTGTTATGTTTCCAGAATCTGCAGTGATTGTCAGGTTAGGAAATTCTGCGCTTCCCAAAGCAACAGCTTATTGCTGTGCTGACTATTGGTTCTTATCTCTTTTAGGTGTTGTAAAGTTTTTTCTTACTGGGTGGCATTCCTGTTGCAGTGTGAATGACGGCAATGGTTTGTACGTATTTAGTTTTGTGTCAGGCTTCATCTCTCTATGTGAGAAAATTCCCAGGAGTATTTAACATACACGTGCGGATAAATCTCCTGCGTGCCCCATAAAGTACTTTACTGTGGGCCAATATAAAGCAGTCATTACAGGGTGATGTTTAAACTTCTGAGATTAACACTGTCTTTCAATTGCACTTATTTTTATAATGTGTAATTTAGCAACTGAACCGTGAAAAGTTATGGCATAGCAAGGTCTTCTTAAAAACAGTGGTTCCAACTGTGCTTTCAGTTTGCTTCATTGTAAATCCAGAGCAATTCTATTCTCCCAGTTAAAAGAAAGAAGGAAAATTGGATCATTTCTGGGAGCTGCTCAGCTGCTACATTATACCTATGTCTGGATGTATTGTCAGATGCTGGCATGGCACATTCTCCACTCCTATTGAAAGCAAAGAGTTTGTGCCAGATTTCTCTGGAGCCAGGCTTGGACAAGGGAGTTGTACAATGGTATTTTTGCCTGGATGAGGAAAGTTTGATCAAGCCTCTCTTTGCAAACCAGATGCTTTTTTTTCTGTGGCCACCACACATCTAGACCTCCGTGAGATCATTCCCTGCTACTTACCCCTTCCAACTAAACTCTCCCATGAGGCTATTTCAGAATACTTTTTTTTTTCTTCAGAAGTCTTCCAT